TGAGACCTAGAGCTGAGGGCTAAGTGACTGTGCTCAGGAGGTGTTAAGCTTTCCCAAAAAGAATTTCGCCCTGATGGGGTGTCTCGACGGGGTTTGTGGCATTATGTCGGTCGTAGGAGGCGTCCACACTTCAGGTGATTTGGGTGCAAGCGCACAGGGCTTAGCATTTGAGATTCGGGGTTTTGTGCTTTGATTGCTATTCAAAGAAGCTTGGGGCTCCCCTAGAACTAGGGAGCCCCGGAACTGCCCCACTTCTATGTTTTAGCCCCAGAGCTCGGACCCCAAAATACGCAAAAATAACTATTGTATTTGCTCCGGACTTATGGGGCTCAGGGTTTGAAGCTTAAAGCCTGTGCTTTGCTTCCTTTCTGAGACCTTTAACAGGGACGGCGCAGGTGGTTTTGTCTCAGTTGGGTATTCCAGTGATGCTTATCCTCTGCCGCTTCATGCTGGGCAAGAAGTGCGTCTTCCAGCATTGAGGGTTTAGGATTTAGAGATGGTATTTCAGGGTCATCATGCACGCTTTCTCGTTTAGGGCTTAAAGCGTCACGCGCTGGAGCTGTATGGACTCCCTGCTGGCTTGTGGTTTGCATTTAAATGCAATTATTGGCAGATTCAAGGGGTAGAATTCAGGAGCTTGGGTGGATGTGCAGGTACAACGCTATCCAGCACTTGGGGGCGGCGGTGATTATATTTGGTGTCCTAGTTGTTGAGAGTCCCGGGTTGTTGCACCCAAGCAAAGAGGACAGCAGCAATATTCCTTTTTTCAACCTTTTATTTTTATTGTCTATTCTTGTAAGCTCTTAGCGCCACCCACTTACTCCTTGCACGAACACTTCTCCTTCTCTGTTTTCGTTTCTCTGCTCACTAATGGGCGTGCGGGGACTCAACTCTGCTGGACTCATGCTAATAAGTGGCGCATACAGCCCCATGGGTAGGCGGGCGTTCCATGTGCTCTCAAGAATGGACACACATGCCTAATGCATTTTTGTAGGCACTTGCGCGTTAGGGTGACAGATGGAACAGCGGAGAATGCACAGGTTTGCGCGCTTCGAGGTAAATTTTTGAAGTTGCTGTGACGTGTGGGGTGTACGCACAGCCCAGCAGTCTGTCATACGTGGTGAAGGAGATAGCTTTCCGGGGCGTCCAAATGAATACTTCATTTCTGCAGTTCTGGGTGGCCCTCTTTCAATTTTTTGTCGGGTTTGTCCTCTTGCCGCTCACATCTCTTCCACTTCTCGGAAAGGGTACATGGTGCAGCTGAAGGCCCTAAAGCTTTAACAGCCAACACTAAAAATGGGTTGGCCTCCAACCCTAGAAATGGCTTAAAAACAACACTTGCAGATCCTGCCTCACGAATAGCTACCCTTTCTACTGCTTCAGCCCGTTTATACTGAAAGGTTTTGCACTTATATCCCAGTCAATGTGCTCCCTTCCTTGTCCATGTGCTCCATCTTTGTGTGTCTTCTTGGATCGTAGAAGGTGTTCCATTGGGGGAATTGTGGGACCGCTTGCTGGATGGTGGCAAATGCCTGATTGGAACGGACACTATTGTGCCACCTGTAAGGCCTTCTTGAGTTATTTCTGTTCCTGCGTGTGTCTGCACCTCTCCTGTAATGCTCAACTTCTTTGCTTGTGTTTATGCGTTTGCCTAACTTGATCCCTTCATAGTGCCTCTGATTAAGTCTCTGCCTATGGCTCCGCTTGTGCCTTCGTCCTTGCCCGTTAATATTCATCTTTCTTGCATGGCACTCCTTGACTTGCCATCTTGTCGATGTGTCTCTGCTTCTCTGATTTACGCGGGTAGCCAGAGATACGTTAGTATTTTTTCTTTGACTCCGAGATGAGATATTTGAGGACTGCTGCACTTCTCTTTACGCGCTTTTGCTGCACTTCTCTTTACGCGCTTTTGTCTGGCGTTTTCGTTGTATCTTTACACGACTTCCTGTTTGTCTTCCACCACAGCATTCGCTCCCTAGGCTTTCTGTGATTTCTCTGCACAGGATTGTGGCTTCCTCACAGGAGTTCCCTGTGATTCTTGCCAGGGGGCATGGGTAGGTATACCCTAGAACTGCCAGTGACCCTTTTAACCTAGAAGCTGCGAAGTGGACCTGGACTATTCCCACAGCTGCGTCGTTGTATGTTCAAGGTCTGGGCGTGTCTGCGGTGCTCAGATTGAAGTTTTCATTTATGTCTTGTTCAACTTAATATACAATGTCTGCTCGATGCTTGTAAGTCAAGGTTGACGGCCTGGAATTCAGGATGAAGCCTTTAAAGGTAGCCGCTAGCTCTGCTTCGTCTTCCTGTTGCCATTTATCCGGAAGTCCGGGGCTTATATCTTACAAAGGTGCCTCAAGGGATTCTGGTTTAGGGTGTTTTCGCAGGTTTTGAAACACTGTGGAGCCACAGTATTGTTCCTCGTGATGACTGTTCGCCTTCCGTTGACTTCAATGGCCTTCTACTCTCCGCTGATTGTGGTAAGCTACCTCGAGGTATGGTTTCGGGCCTAGGGTTAGGGTTTAGGGCTTTAGGACCAGGCATTAAGGAGGCACCATGCACTCTAGAGCCGTGACAGCGGAGAAAGCACCAGCTGCGGTTGCTGCTGCAAACTGTTTAGGATGGAAAGGTTAGTGTTGTACTTACTTGCGAAAGCACACTTTTCAAATGCTGAATATTGGTGTGAATGCTCTTCGGATGCTTGTGCAGGGTGACAGCGCGGTTCCGGCAAAGGCCACGGACTTCTTTGGTCTGGTGAATGCTATGGACAAACAGGACGAGCCAAACACTTTAGCAGCCGACTCCATTATTTTTTGAGAATTGCCTACGTGTTTGCTCTCTGTTTCGAATTCATTGCGTGTCAATGTTGTCCTTTTTGCCTGTATTTCTTTGCATTGGCGCTTTGCTGTTCGACCCTCACTCCGGTTATTTTCTGGGTGCATCCTTTTCGAGCTTTTACTCATTGATCGGTTTTTTCTACCCGCCTCTGACCCCTCCCATTCTTGCTTGTTTTCCTGTTTTTATTCTTTGGCACACCTCTCTTGCTTTTCGTCTTGCGTTCTTGTGTCTTTTGGATTCAGCTGATTTTGCTTGTGGGCCTTCTGGCATTCCGTTTGGGCGGACACAAAGCAGCGTAAGTGTAAACAAGCAGCGTGGGCCCCCTAGACCCTAAGCCTGGCGCCTAGGCGATACATTTACGCCTGGAAGTTTGTGGGCAAGACCTAAGACACTTCCTAGTCTGATTTGGTCTCGAACGCACACAGGCCCAGCCTCATCAGGGCTTAGGCTACCCACCGTGATACTTGTGGTCGAGGGTTTCTTCGCAGGAGAGATGGCGAAGAGGGCGAAGATGAGGAAGGGGAAGGCAGCTTGGATCAAGACATTACAGCAACTGCAGAGGTTCGAAGCCCTATGACATAATGTTTTAAACTAAGTGGAAGTTGTGCGCTGCCAGCAGGTAGAAAGTAGCCGCCCTTAGAGCTCAATAGCTTCTCCCGTTCACCGACCTGCGCCCTTCACAGCTAGGGTTTACTATTAGCTGCTTAGGGAATGTGGACCAGTGTTTGGACTTTTGGCTTATTCAGGTTGCACATGTGCACATCAAGGTTCTCGCCAGCGACCCAAGCATTCGAAATGACGGATACTTTCAGTAAACTCGAAGCCTTAACTCCAAGCGTATTTGAAAACGGCCCTCTCTACTGATCCTCATGAGAGGGAGTCTTCTGAAGCGTAATGCCCTGAGTAATATGGCTCTCAAAGCTGCTGTTCACTGCCTCTGCAGCTGTTCATTGTGTCCGGCTTGTGCAGCTACTTCTCTGATGAGGAAAGCCCCCCTCCTAGGGGGAGCCGCCGGAGACGAAGTACTCCTTGAGAGCTTAGGGCAGAGGTTTTTAGAGCTTACATTTCAGAGCTTGGGAATGAAGGGTGTATTCCCGGCTTGAGTTGCTCCGGGCTGAAGTGGTTCAGGCTTGCGGTGTTGTGAATGTTCTTCTTGTGTGCTTCGCAGCGCATAGGGGGGAGTACGTGCCCCCGAGTCTCCAGGACCATGCGCCCAACTAAGGAGGCTTTCAGCGTATGTGGGGTTACCGAAGATGCCGACAGCTTTGCAGAAGACTGGGGATGTTACGTTTAGCGGTCTTCTGACCTGTTTGCAGCACGTGCAGAATCCGCATACAGAGGCTGCGAGGCATATCAGGTAGATTCCACTCTGAAGAGGGAGCGTTGTCCTCGAAGTATAGTTCCGCATGCCATGGCCCATAATGGCAAATTAGGGACTCTTGGTGAGCCAAAGGGCCGTCGAGTTGTGGGACCTTGCTAGGTCCCCAAAGGGAAAGTATGGAACACTCAGGGAAATGGGGCAACTAAGGGATATCCGTGAGGCCTTCGACAAGAAGACCTCACGTACACTGCGCTTGAGGGAAAACTCTGATGTGCAACTTAGCGCCCACTCGCGGCAATTCGGGGGGGCCCTATTGCGGCCCCCTGCGTGTCAGCTTTTCGTCTATATGACTTTCGTATAAATTAGTAGTCGTACACAGACAAAGCGCACACAAAACAGGCAGCTCTAGTGCCCCTTATTGTCTCTGAAATGCCCTGACTTAAGGGGAGCCCTAGTGCTCCCCTCACTGCGTAGCACTGTAAAATGCAGACGAATTGGGGGATCTCTGGAGCTGCGGCACCAAGGACAGGGTGGGGCTCTGTCAATGGGCTGAAGGGACCGGGCCCAAGGGAGCCCCGTGAGTGATGGAAGGTTCCAAAGCCTAGAGAGAGGGTTCTAAATCAACATAGCAACCCCCACTTGTTTAGAACTGACACTGCTGAGCAGGTCACCGTCTGAACGAAGGCACCGGGTTGCCGTCGTTCAGATGGTGACCGTCATCGTAAACACATGGAGATACATGTTACTAAAAATGGTGAAGGGGCCGGCTTTGCACCTAAAGAGGCCCTGACTGGGCTTCAGGGGCTTATAGGGTCTGAGGGCCCCTGGCATCTGACAAATAAATTCAGAGGGCCCCCATGAACTCCTCCAGTGCGTCCTCTGCTGAATCTCTTGTCTGCGGCCACAAAGGGACAACGCCATGCATAACCACCCAGCGCATGCAAACTACGCATTTGCGAGATCAGCCCCACTACTTAGGGTGCAGAGGGAACCCATTTAACTATTGAGTGAAGCCAGTGCCCGGCGGGATATCGAAATGCCCCTGGATGCCCAAGGGTCTGACTGCACTTCCTCACCCGTGCGTGCAGAGCAGCTATCGCATGGACGATTGTCAGGAAAGTTGGCCGCCGGTGTCCATTTCGCTGGCAGCACTTGTCGATTAAGGTCTTCACGCAAAACCACAAAAGATGTATCCACGGTCACTGCAAATGGAAGAGTACGGAAGCCATATCAAGGACAGCTACAGGGTACCAGCGAAGGCTGCGGGAACTGCAGCAGCAGCCGCAGTTTCAGTAGCAACAGGGTGAGTGCCTACCTTTAACTGATAAGGGATGTAGTCATAAGGATTCCCCAGGGGCTCTTTCCAGAACTCCACGCAGCCCTGAAAACACAAGAAACAAACGGGTATGCAGTGCAATACACAAGCTTACAAGCAGCAAACAAACAGCTAGCAAACTGCCGACACTGAATTAGTTGCGCATATGTCTATGCGCTGAGTTCTTGCCCCTGGAAGTGTCAGCATTTCAACTGAGGCTTTTCAGGCACAGCTGCAGCCTCCGCTTATTTTGATCTACGCCCCACTAGGAGCCCAAGTTAGATATGCTTCACCGGGGGTCTCCTACTCACCACGATCTGCGCTGAAGACAGCTCGGCAAAGGGCTGTAGACCCGTCAGCTGCAAGGACACGACCCCAAAAGCATAAGTCTTAAAGCCCTACGGCTTTCCCCTAAACCCTCGAATCAACAGTGCTGCACAGCTGTACGTTTCTAATGAGGTCGACTAATGGGCTGTAGGGAGCAGGGTGCAAAGTTACGATTTGCCAAAAAACCACTCCAAAGGAGTAGACGTCTATGTACTTCTTCTCGTCCGGCTCACTCAAGCCCAAACACACCTGAATAAAGAGCCCCAAAATCAGTAGCACTAGACATGAAATATTCACTTTACAATCGGGCTGCTGCTATACATGCACGCTATCAAGTGCCCCAGCAGCAGCAGTGGTAGCAGCAGCAAAGCCTCACCGCAGGAGGACTCCACGGTAACTGCAGCATCCTCTCATACCAACTGAATTGGCGCAGGGCGGCTGAGATGGCGCGGGCGGCAGAGATCTGCTGTTGGAGATCCTCCTGTCGCTGCTGTTGCAGCTTTTGCTGTTGTTGCTGCTGATCCTGCTGCAAAGAGATTCCCTCAGCCCTATTATCTAAGGCACACACACAGTCAGAAACGTGTGTGTAGTTTTCCATGGAGCCTCTGTGAGGAAGAGGCCTCTCGTGACCTCTCAAACCTCTTTGAGATATGGGCCACTGTACCTTGGGCCCCACAGGGAGGCACCGGATTTGAGAAAATCACAAAAGAGGCAAAGCTGCACTCAACAAACCTGCTGGGCAATTGGGGCCTTCGTCCGAGCCACGGCGTCTGTATGGAGCTGCTTCGGCCGAGAGGCCCTGCTGGGTGGGACCCTGACTGGCGCCTGCAGGGCCCATTAAGGGCCCCTCGAGCGCCTGCTGGATGCAACTACGCACATTCTGCGCCAACAGGGACTCTATTTCCGCTATTCCTAGAGGGCACCGCAGAGAGGCACAGATAACAAACACAAACTAATGGTGCAGAAGCGAAAGCAACAGCCCACTTGACACAGGCAGCCTCAATTGCCAAACGCAGGCTCAAACACAAGTGCGTATAACCCAAAGCCTACAGAGGTGCCCTGTGGCCTAAAGGGTCTGACCCATGCAAAGAACGGAGGCTTCTCTGCTTTCCGTTTCTTTTGTGTCCTACGCTGCCCTTACCAAATCCCGCAAGCTTCGGGGCAAGGGCCCCATCAAGCAACACCTTCGAAGGACTGAGCTGCAAATGGTACACCTGAGCAGCCCACACACACAGGTCTTGCTGCTTGCAGAATGCATTCAGCTTCGGCCCTTACAGTTCTGCTCATGGAGACCTGAGCGCTGCAGGCCCCTGCTCTCTACGGCCAGGGTGCTCGATGCCTTCCCACAGAGCAACAGGTAAACGGGCTTTTTGTGCTTCTACAGGGCCTCTAAGACTTCTTGGGGTTTCCTTGTTACCTGCTGTCTCTGGAGATAGGCGCAGCCCAAAGCGATGCCCCGAGCAAGATTCAAGGCGTCCAGCAAGTGCGGCAGACACGGGCCCCTCGTTGGACTGTGGAGGCCTCCAGCACCTTTCCGATGGTCTGTGTGACCCACACATGGGGCCCTGAGGCCCGCCACTGCGAAGGGTACTCCGCACATCTTAGCGAGAGCCCCCAAAGGAATGCCTGCAGGGGCACTCTGACTACTTGAGTGCCCCTGAATACCCCCCATATCCTGACTGCCCCCCAATTCTTCCCACGAGGGGCCTCTTGAGAGAGCCCTACTACGCGATGAAGAGGGGAGACCGGAGGGAGCACGAGGCCCCTCTCGGTAGTTCAGCTCGCCACTGCCTTTATGCGCGCATTGGGGGGAGCCCACTGAAGCGCTGTCTTGAGATACACCAGCAGAGTGCCTTGCCCTATGAAGATCTCTCTTAGGGGCTGATTTGTAGCCTCCCCCAGCATGCGCTCCCTCGCGAGGAGACCCCTCCACGGCGCCCCCTCTAGGAGAACTCCAAGAGACTGTGGGGCTCTTATCAGTGTACTGGGGGCCCTCAAGGGCCCCTGCGAGTACCAGTGGAACGACGCAGCATGCAGGAGGCAGAAGGAAAGGGTCTTCTTCATTCTGAGAAGGTCCCAGCACCGGGACTCCACTAGGGCCCCCGTTGGGGGCCCTGCTATGGCGCTTTTGACCCCACTCGTCATGCTTCCAACGGCGCTCGGTGGAGGTCCCCACTGCGTCTTGAGAGCTGCCGCTCTCCACAGGAGCGCTGGCTGCCGTGGCGCAGCCAGCTGACTGGCCTGAGCTTTCTGGGGCCCCTGGGGCCAAACAGTGGAGCTGTTCAACTGAGCCGCAGCGAGAAGAGCAGTCTCCGCTGTTAGGGCTGCCAGAGGCCTCACAGTGGGGGAACCCCGAAGCGGGGACCTCCCTATGTGAAAGGGAGAAGGCCCCCAAGGGGTGCCTGGGGGGTAGGCCTAGATGAGGGGCCCCAGGAGACAGGTGGGCTCCTAAAGGACCCTTTGAGAGATACTCCATTACGAGGCAAACGTGGAAAGAGTGGGACAGCGAAACGCCCAAAAGCATTACGAGATGCGGATGCCGCAGCTGCTGCAGCTGCAGCAGGTGCTGCAACAGCAAGTCTGTGTTGTTACATTGCACCTCTACCAGCTTCTCCCTCAGCTTTCCAGCAGCATCCCCCGACAGGTGGCTCGGCGAACCCATCGACGCCCTAGAGCTTCGAGTTTCCCCTTCAAGCAAAGGAAAAGTGAGGGGGCCTTCGTTCCACGGCGGTCCCGCGGCAGCTGCTGCAGCTGCTGCCGCAGCAGCAGCGGCAGCAGCAGCTGGCACTGCAGCACTCGTAGGCATGTGGTAGAAGAAGTGCTGCTTCCTGAACACCTTAATTGCCACTTCCTTCCCCAGCCAAAACCCATAAAAGACGCTCGTGCGGCGGCCCCCCAAACACCTGACGAAGTGCAGCTGCTCAAACGGGATCAGGGACCCCAAGTTTGGGGTCCCCTTGTCAATGCTGCAGCGGGAAGCTCCAATAGAGGGCCCCTCAGGAGGCGTTGTAGGGTACGAGAAACCTCGAGGGGCCCCCGGTAAGCCATCAGTCTCTGAGAAGACAGACGTTGACGTCCGTGTGGCTGCGCCACAACCAGGGGCCCCCAGGAGACTCGGCCCTTGGTACGGAGAAGGGGCATGGGCCCCTATTAGAGGGGGGGCCCCTGGAGAACCCCTCAAAGAGTAAGCTGTCTGAGAATCCACAGAAGGGCTGCTCGGGGAAGAACTCAAGAACAGCCGATGCACACGACGACGGCGAGAGGCCTGGAGTCTGCGCCACAAACCCTAAATGAGGCCCAACCCTAAGCCCTGTCTCCACAAGGGAAGCTCTGAGGGTCTTACCTAACGCAAAAATTGCCCAAAATCAGCTACAAAGTGTGGGGCTTTAGTTTACCTGAGGAGCTTGACGAACATAAGAACTCTGTTCCTGCCCCCGAATGTTGCCATTCCAAACTCTCTCTTCAGCCTGGCGGCGTTCAGAGAGAGAAAGCTTTCCCCTGCAAAATGGGTCCAAAAATAAGCACAAGCCATGCATGCCACCCAACAGCACGTGTGGGGAGTCGATGGCGCCTAGGGTTTAGGGTTTAGGGTTTGCTGCTAACCTCCCACCCGCCGTGCTAGAAGCGCCTCAATAAAACCTTCCGGCAGTTTTTGACTGCGCAGTTCGCTTGAAGCCAGGCGAAGCCAACGAGCCAACTCAGAAGGGGTCCAGTGGACCGCTGCAGCACCAGCAGCAACAGGAGCAGGAACAGCAGCAGCAGCAGGCAGGACGGCAAGGTGATGCCAATAATGCAGCAACAAGCTTCACAGTAAATTCCAAACCCTGATTCCCAAATCCTGAGGCTGCTACCACACAGTAACTGCAACAAGGGACGCACAGCGAGCCCATTTGCTTGAACTATCGTCCCTAAAGCCTGAATTTTGAATGTCAAATCCTACTTATTTAGCCCTGATACCTCAAAAGCGACTTTTAGGCTCTAAGTTCTAGTTAATCCAAAGACAGCAGCATCTACAGTTGCTGCATTCGCGGCAGCAGCAGCAGCGTCAATTGGCAGCAGCAACGCCAGCAGCAGCAGCGTCAATTGGCAGCAGAAACGGCAGCAGCAGGAGCAGTGCATTGATGCCTGCCTTCTGCCTCTTCTGGCCATGTCTGCTCGGCCGCATCTCCGCCTGCAAGCAACGGCATCAAACGCTAGGAATGAACTTCCAAACCCTAAACTCTGAACCCTAAACCCTCAACCCTAGATCCTAAACGTCAAACATAGAAAGCTGGGGGAACGGAAAAGTTTCCCCTCAAAGCTGCCTGAGTTTGAGTGGCGCCTTACGTTCCAAGCACGACCGATCAGAAGCAGCAGCAGCAGCAGCAGCAGCAGATCTGCTGTGCCGTGCTGTGCCGTTCGCTGCGTCGCTGCGGCCGCTGCTGAGGCTTCCCCGGCCCCCCGTGCTGCAGGATCCTTGGGGGGCCCCCTGGGCCGTCTCGTCCTGCACCGGCGAGGCAAGAGGTCCCACAGCATCGTGGGCGCTGCAGGCTGTGGGGCCCGGGGCAGCCACGGGGCTGCGGGCCTCACTGAGGAGTCCGGGGCCCCTCACGAGGACTCTGCGGCCCAAAGACCATTCTGAATAGACCAGAAGGCGTTCAGGCAGCAGCAGGGAGCGGCACGGGCCGTGCAAGAAACACTCATGCCATGTGCCTGTGCGCAGCGGCACAGGTTAGCATGGGCCCTATTTCTGAAAACCACAAAATATGCAGCTGCTCGCTTTATTCCCTTTCCTGAGGTTTTCAGATATTAAGGGTTTAGTGGCCTTCATGCGGCCTTGAGAGCAGCCAAGAAAGCGGGAGAAAAAAGGTCTCAAGTGGCCCCAGCAAATCCAAGTTTTCTTGCCTAGGGCCCCGCTCCTCACTAACTGTTGGGAAAAAAGGCTTCTGTGCATTAAAGCATTTCAAGTGGGTTAAAATGCAGCACTGAGGCCCCGCTAATGCGAGTAGAGGGTTTAGGTGACAAATAAGGGCCCCAGAATGCGATCTAGGCAAGAAAAGAGTGGGGCATTCTTCACCTTGGTGAATGGCGAGGCCACCCCCGCTGCGGAGCTCCACGAAGACGCCCGGGCCCTCGCGGCGCCCCTTGTTGAAGGTTCCCGAGAAACAGTGGCCATCCCTAAAGCAGCAGACTTGAGTTGTAGCGCTTCTCCCTGTGTTCTAGGCACTGGGGGCAACACTTTGCTGCAGTTTGCAGGCTGCCCCACGTTCCTAGTTCTTTTTCTGTTATTTTCTTTATGGGGAGAAGCTGAAAAGCTCTAACTAGCTTGTTTACAGAGTTCAAAGTGCACTTCTTACTTGAGTAGAAGAATGCCTCGACCGGATGGAACGCCAGAAGGATCAATGGGCCTGAAACGCAGTTTTGAGACTTAAACGCCAAAATCTTGTTGCACGAATTCAAGTCCACACACACCAGGGGGAGATCACAAACGAATAGCTGCAGGCTGGGGCTTCGGTTTAGTGCTAGCGTCTAGGGTTGCAGCCAGTGCGGAAGGCGCCGCCCACCCTTTGTACCGATCGCCAGTGCTCAGGAGCAGTGTTCCCCTGGGGAAGGCGGCTGCGACACACGCAGCAGAAGAAACGGTTTGGAGTTAGGGGCTTGTGATTTCGCATGTAGTGTCTGAGATTGCGGGTCTAGCGCCGCTCACCTTCTACACGAGGCCGGACATTGGAAGAGCCCATATTTAGGGTTTGGGTTGAATAATTAAATTCCCCTCATGGCGTCACCAAACAGACGCGAGGGTTTACGGGCTACGCCAAGAGCTCTGGATTTAGAGCGGCCGCGGTGACCCAGTGTTAGTCGAGCGGTTCTGCGGCGGCGCAGCAAAAGTGCTTCCTTTAGCTCTCTCTACAAACCCTGTTATTTGGGTTTTATAATTTATACTCTAAGATTTGACGATAAGATCAGGAACACTGTATGTGGGGTGGGCAGCTAAGGGTTTGCAGAACGTGCTTCGTTGTTCAACGAGTGTTGCTGTGGCTGCATGCGCCCGGCTGGGGCAAGCGCCGACACACTGTAAAGTTTTTCACAAAAATTTTCCGCGTGGATTGCTTTTTTTTATTCCACGCACAAGCAGCTTCAAATTTTCGGGCGTAGATGGAGGCCGTCAAAGACTATCTTACGTTAGGATTTCACACTCAACGCTGCCGTAGACACTCTGCTATTCCGCAGACTGCAGCAAAAACTTTCGCCCCAGGAGATAGGGGCTATGGTTTATGCTGTGGCCTGTGCGCTCTAGAGTCACTGGAAAGTTTCCGTATCGTGGTTTAGTGTACTGTCAGGTCAGGGTGTAAGAGCTAGTGCCCGCACACTGATGAGACTGACTCATTTCATTCTGCAAAATACGGATATTTTGCCGTTTTTTCAGACTTCACTAGCATATTCGTACGATGGAAACACGTTTCTCAGGAAGCATGGAGCCGTCTGTGCGCCCAAATGCGGACAGGGATCCCGATGCGGAGTAATAAAATTCGAGTGTACTATGTTGCAGATGTCCAGTAATACGCGTTATAAATAGCTACCAGAAAAACTACTCTTTCGAATGGGGCGCATTAATTCCAGAACAGAATGTATCCAACGGTTATCCAAGCCAGCATTTATAAATGTATATAACAGTTCGCACTAAAGCCAACTAGGTACCGTTCGAGAGCAACACCAGTTTAGCAGCTGCCGATAACTGGGGATTCGCTCATTTGTTGTTGTTTCAGTTATGCGTCTGCGACTTACCTTAGAGAAATCTTTAAGCAGGCATTAGTTACAGAACAGAAATCATTAATTCGCACTGTCAATCGTTTATTCGAGCCAACATTAAAATATAAATATGCACTATCAAACGTTTGTTCGAGCCAGAAATTATGCGTCCGCAACTAGTGGATAAAACTGAAGAAGGTAGAGTCGCATAAATTGCAGAACAGAATGTATTGAATCGCACTATCCAACGTTTATTCGAGCCAGCATTTTTATAATTCGCACTACCCAACACCTAATCAAGCCAGCAATTATGCGTCTGCGACTAACCTTGTCGATGAAACTAATGAAGCTCTAGTAAACACATTAGTTCCAGAACGGAATGTATTAATTCTCATCATCCTACGTTTATTCGAGCCAGCAATTACGCGTCTGCGACTAGCCTTAGCGATGAAACTCCTCGGCGAATCCGTATTTGTTTCTGTGTGCTTGTCCTGGCAAAAGCCAAGTAGGTACCGTCGCGAGCAACACCAGTTTAGCAGCTGCTGTTAACATATAGCAAAAGCCGATACGCCTTATATATAGAAAAGGCTACTTATAAAAAGCTAGACAGGTCTGTGCGGACAAAACGCAGGCAATAGCCTAAACAAAACTAGGCTGTGGTTGCTTCACAAAAAAGCCAAGTCCCATAGTGGGGGCTTGGAGCCGCTTTCTCTGCCCAGAAAGCCTTCTGCCTGTTTCCCTACACCGCACAGAGTTGTGTGTGTGGGAGGCGTTGACAAAATATGCAAACTGATGATTGCAGTGGGTCGCCACCAGTGTGCCAAGTGCATACAGACTGACACCAATGGAGGCAACGAAGAGCCTTCAGCCTGAAAGCTGCTTCAAAAGGTTTTCCGCGGGAAACCGCTAAAGAGCGGCGCTGTAAGAAGGCCGCGTCTTCAGAGAGACATCCAGTCTGGAGTCTCTGCGGCTGCAACTACTATTGCCTAGTCCCTCACTCGCTGTGCTTCGCCAGCGCTACTGCCGTGGCAGTGCATTTAGCCTTGCTTGCCCTGCGAGTAGCTGCTCGGCTGGAGCATGAGCCGCTGCAGAAGGTTGTTGTTCTGCGAGCTCTTGCTCGGGGCGGCCTGTACGACTCCAGAGTACTTTGCGGGGGCGCGAACAACGTATGCGGGCGCGGCCTTCTGGGGCGCGGCGCGGACGTAAGTGGGGGCTGCAGAGAATTTCTGGGGAGGAGGTGCCACGTATTTGGAGGGCGCTGGAGCTACGTACTTTGTGGGTACGGGTGGAGTCTTGGCGGGCACGGCGGCGACGGCGGCCTTTTGGGGCACAACATATGAGGCGTATTTGTTTTTCTTATAGTGAGCCTTCTTGTACTTGTAGTACTTGCCTTTGCCCTTGGCCTTTTTGCACTTATAGCCGTGGCACAGCTCTCTCTTCTCAGCGCCCTCCTCGTCCTCGTCTTCCTCGTCATCAACTTGGCTGTCCATGACGCCTTCTTCCATTTCTTCCTCAGCGCCAAGGCCTTCCATCTCTGGAGAGTAGGCGGCCTCATGGCCCTCCTCAGCCTCGGCTTCGAAGCCAGTCGGCTCTTCAATCTGCTCGCTAGTCACGGCAGAGTAGTACTCAACTGGGGCCTCCATTTCCATGCTTGAGGCTGCGCAGAGGGCCACGGCCCCTGCCACAGCGACGCTTGAAACGAGGACCTTCATCTTGGAAAGAGAGTATAAACAAAATTAGTTGAAGACGAAAAGAGGCAACTGCAAGAAGAAATATATTTGTGCCTCTTTAATATCATGCCAGATGCCTCCGCGCGAACAGCAGCAGCTCACCAAGTAGGCGGGGGGGAAGAGCCTCGGGCAAGCCACAGCCATCGAAACAGCTACGCTTTTTCTGCTCTGACCAGCGCAATCTCAGTGAAAATTTCTCATTGTCAGGTTTTTAATTAGGAATTATTCATTTTAATGCATTGGGAATGAACAAAAACTGGAATTTTAGCCAACACACAGGGAATAGTGACAACGACTCGACGTCGGCAGAACCGTCATTCCGAACCATTCACCAGCTCTATGAGTGTTAGCAGGCCCTTGTCTGCAGCTTTTTCTCAACGTAATTGCTTTTTATAGTTACAATTTGACATTTCACTAAAGCAAAAGGTAGAACACTCGAAAATGGAGCCCCCAGGCACCACTACAGCCTTTGCATGGGCTCAACACCAGGTCACTCCACTGCCTACAGCTTGCACTGCAGCAAACCGCCGGCTCTGCTGCTGCCGAGTGCCTCTTTCTTCAGCAGATCTGCTTCTTGGCCACTTTTAATACGGTTATAAGGTTTTGTTTTAGTTAACAGCTTCTCTCCGCTCTCGAAATCAAACGCACAAAGCGCTGGCTGCGTTTGCTCGAGCTTCTCGTCGGTGGTGCTTGCCTACCGCCCGCTGTTGTTGCCGCCACCTCCGCTACTGTTTGCCGTAAAATGGAGCTAATTTTTCGTTTACTTTTTGCTGATGAGAATGAGCTGCCGCTGGAAGGGTACACGGGGCCCCAGGACATGTACCTCGAGAACGAAACCCACATCCTGGACAGCTGCACGTACCTAGCGAGAGAGACCCCTTTCTTCACGTCTTGGAGTTGCTCTGGGCTCATCACCAAGAAGGGAGACGACCCTGACAGATGGCTGTGGGTCGTCTACTACACCGTCCCAAAAAATCCACCCCCTGGCCTCCCGATACCTAAAAACGAACTGCCACCTAGCCGTGTGGTCCACCTTGAGATCCCCAAGGACATTGAGGGATCCAAGAGCGTTATCAGGAAGGCTCTCGAGGTGCTCGCGCGGAGGCATGCAGCCACCTTGTCTCGCGACTAAACAAGCCGCGCCATTAGCCTGTGCTTTCCTTCACGCGGTAGCTCCTTCTACGCCTACTGCTGTGTGTCCGTTCAGACTGCCCACTCATAACCACACTGTGTAAATAAAGCAGCAGCTGCAACGGCTGCTGCTTGGCCTCCCTAAACTACAGTGGGGCTTGGCTCAGGCCGCCCTACCCGTACCAGCAGATACCCTTTCGCACTGCACTCAGGTGCTTCCCTACAGTCAACTCATTTGTGTTATGTTCCTAATTTGCTCGTAGCTGTTCTGAGTTGTGAACATGGGAAACTGACACTTGGCATTAAAAGTTGGTTCCCACAAAGCACTTCGGGCCTCCAGTTAGTTAAGCTTTAAGCGGCCCCTTCTACAGCTTCGGTAGCCTCCACAACATTTGTTACTGTCTCTACCTTCGCTCCGCTGGCTGCAGTGGCCGCCACGCGGCCTCAGTCTTCAGGCGGCGCTGCAGCAGCAGCAGCAGCCTGCTGCTGCTGCAATTTACCCTTTGAGCTGCTGCTTTCGCCGCAGCTTCTCAGCAGCAGCAGCAGCAGCGGCCTTCAACGGCCCGCAGCACGTTCAGGACTTCTCCACGTGGAGCTTCAGCAGGAACTGGGAGCCATCAGAAGGGGCCCAGGGCCTCACAATGTCATATCTCAGCGAGTAGGTGCCCGCCTCGCCCGCCCGGATCACACTTAGAAACGGGACGGGGGCCCCCACGAGGCCCATGCCGCCTCCGCTTGAGGGGGCTGCAGCCACGAACGCCCCCACACAAACACAAAATCCACAGAGTTCTAATTATTATCTTATTTTTAGTAGCACTTCCAATCTGAGTCCTTCAGCCCGGGCCTCTGCACAAGGCCACTGCAGCTTTTAGCTAGAAAAACTGGGGCTCTAGACCCTTCAAGAAGGCCTGAGGCTCCCGCCTCGGGCAAAAGCCACGGGCCAGCGGCCACAAGCCAAATTACAAGGCATCAGGAGCAAAGGGAAACTCAAAAATTCAAAATGAGTCCTAAAAAGGTAAAAAGAAGGGCACAGAAGCGGGCTTACCGGTGAAAGGCGTGGGAAGCTGTACCTGCAGACCCTCGGGGATGGGGGGCCCCTGTTCTATGAGCTGCTTGACGTCTTCGGCCGAGCTGGGGGAAGCCTGGGAAAGCTCGGAGAGGCCCACAGCCCCACTCTGGGCACTCACCAACACTGGCCTGTAGCCCCCAACGCTCTGAAGCCGCACCACCACAGTGGACCCCACGGGCACGCGGATCTCAGCAGTGTCTGCGGACTCCGCGCCTCCCACGTGCGAGAACTCCACCACCTGCAGCGCCCACAAACGCGCCACACGGGCCAGCAGCCTGAGGGGGCCCCGCGGAGCCACCCGCGCAGCTGCGCCGCACCAGCGGTCAGGACCACTGGTCACCTCACGGGAACCAGCGCCCACACGCAGCCACTGCAGTGGCACTAGCGGCAGACACTGGCAACCGCTGCATGCGGCTGCAACTCAGAAAGTCGATGAAGTGCCACTCGCGACTGCCAGGGGCCGCAGACAAGGACAGAAGCTAACACAAAACGAGGTAGCACACTATGGGGAGAAAGAGCCACAGAAGCTGCGGGCCGGGAGCGCCCCCAACCTGCTGGCGGCTGCAGGGCCCCCGAGAGGGGCCCCAGCAGCAGAGGACAAGCGGCAGAAAGCAGCAAGGCTGAGCAGCAGCAACACAGTACCTGAGTTGCATTATCCAAATGCTGCTGCAGCTCCTCGGGGGAGGACCCTGCTGCTGCTGCGCCGGGCATCGTGAAGCAACAAACAAGACCGACTGCGAATAGGAACCCCAGGACGCGGCCAGAAAGCTGCATTTTGTGTCTGCTGGTCCAAAAGTTTCTCAATAATTCAAGTAAACAGTCAATTAGCCAACAGCCGTCAGCAGAAGAAGAAGAACGACACCCAGCAGGCCGGGAGGCAGCAGGCGGACGGGCGCCTCAAGCTAACAAGCAAGGTCAGGCAGCGGCCCCACGCAGACAACGGGCTAAAAGAGTGTCTCTATTTGAGTTAATTGAGTTTGTACGAGCGACCGAAAAGCGAATTCCACTTATTGAAAAGATATAGAAACAAAGGCGCTGGCCGACGGCTCTAAAAGCACACGAACAGAAGGGCGCGGTGGGCCGCAGCCCTTCCCGCGCTGTTGTTGCCTTCTCTGTCTTTGGTGCCACTGCAGGGCCAAGTTTAGTTAATTTTCCTAGTATTTACAACAACTCGAGCATTTAATGGCCTTGTTGGCGGAAAATCCACACTAAAAAGCTCCTATTTCTTCTAAAGGAGCTCCCCGGCGCGCCCCGACGCGGTGTGTGTACTGAACAGGTGACCGACCGGTCGAGGGCGCCACCTGGAGTGCAGCAGCTGCATGCACTGCTGCTTTTTTCCGGCCTCCACAGGCTTCCACTAGAAAACATGTTTAATTTTGAAACGAAATCGGTTTTTCTGACCTCGTTGAAGGCCTTTTTCGAGCCCAGGAGAGGGGCTTGAGCGTCGGCCTCTGCAAAGACTGCCGGCGCCGCGTCACCCCTTGGGACCACGCGTGTCTGGGTGTCTGTACACCTGAATCCCCTATGCAGATCTCACCTTCCTCAGTGCCATTCGGGGCCCCCAGCTGACCCGCGGAGCTGCGCAGCGCCGCTGCTCGCCTGCAGTTTCGGCGCGCACGTGGGCGCTGCTCGCTGCTGCTGTTGCTGTTGCTGCTGCTGCTGCTGCTCAGCCCAGCCTTCGCCTGCTGCAGTGGCCGCCGGCAGCTGCGCTGCCCCCCACGCCTCCCCCAATGAAAGCCTCGCGCGGCGCTGCACTCCTCGCCGCTGCGCCTCCCCATGTGGTCCCTCTTCGGCTACAGTGACCCCCCTGCAGAGGAAGCAGCAAGCGAGGCCGAGGCCCCCGCAGAGGCCCCCGATGAGGCTTCCCCGCCCCCCGCGGCCAGCTCGGGCGGGGGCATTTGGAGTTGGTTTGGGTACTCCGACACCCCTGCTGAAGAAGAGCCCGCCAGTCCAGTAAGCCCGCCTGCTGCTGCTGCTGCTGCACTTGCTGCTGCTGCTGCTAGGTGTCCTTGCAGCTCTCACTCAAGTGGAGTGCGCCGCAACTAAGTTAGAGCTGCTGCTGAGTCTCTTTTGCTGGGGCCCACAAAGGACAAGAGGGGCATGCATGCACTGCAGCGCAGCTGCAGTGGGCAGCCGTTTGCCTGTCTCGCTGCTGCACAGGAGGGGCCCCTGCTGCTGCTGCTGCTGGCTGCTGCTGCTGCTGCTGCTTCTTCAGAGCGCCAAATGTGTTCATCAGAGCTGTGGCTGTGGCTGTGACTTGGAGTGTATAGGGAGCTCAAGGAGATGCAGAAGCTGCTGCAGCAGAAGCGAAGGGAACTGCCGCAGCTCCTGAAACAAAGAAAAAGAAGAAAAAGAAAGACAGCGAGGAAGATGCGGGCAGCAGCAGCAGCAGCAGCAGCAGCAGCAAGGCGGCTGGCGAGGGGGACTTGAAGGGCCACGGGGAGAAAAAGAGCAAGAAGAAGCACTCTGCAGCTGCTGATGCTGCAGCAGATGGGAAAGCAGCAGAAAAGAAACAAGGAGAATCTTCAGAAGGAGACAGTGCAAAAGAAAAAGGAAGCAAAAAGAAAGCCAAAGACAGCAGCGCCGCGAGCCCGTCCCCCCGCCCTGCTGCTGCTGCAGCGCAGCAGCAGCAGCAGCAGCAGCAGCAGCAGCCACTGAAGATCAGCGCCACCGACGTGGCCGCGACGGTGCAGCGGCTGGCGGAACTGGAGAAGCAGAAGGAGAAGAAGCAGCAGGAAAAGAAGACAAAGGAGAAGGAAAAGAAGCAAAAGGAAGCAGCAAAAGAAGCAGAAAAGGAAAGAAGAAAGAAAGAAAGAGAAGAAAGACTTGCTGCTCTGGCGCAGCAAGTTGAAGAGTCGCAGCGGCAAATCGACAAAGTCTTGGAAGCAGCAAAACAGCAGCAGCAAGAGCGCCGCCGCGAGAAGGAGAGGAAGCAAAAAGAAAAAGAAAAAAAAAGAGAAGAAGACACTGGCAGCAGCTCCGAGGCCCCGCAGCCAGAGACCCCGCAGTCCGGCACCGACACGCAAGAGCAGCAGCAGCAGCAGCAGCAGCAGCAGCAGCAGCAGCAGCAGCAGCAGCAGGAGAAGCTCAGGCGGCAGCAGCAGAGAGAGGAGAGGGAGCGCCGCAGGCGCGAAGTGCAGCAGCAGCTGCAGAAGCTGATTGAAGAAAAAGAAAAAGAACTCCAAGACACCGCCAGATCGCTGAGACAGGCCGTGGAGGACCAGCAGCAAAGAGCTGCTGAGATCATGCGCATGCAGCAGCAGGTTCTTGCTGCTGCTCCTGCCTCCCCCACGCCGGCTGCTGCCCCTCCCGTGTCTGCAGCTGCTGCAGCAGCTGCTCCTCCGCCACCGTCCCCGCAGCAGGAGCAGCAGCAGCAGCTGCTGCTGCAGCAGCTGCAGCAGCAGCAGCAGCTGCTGCTGCAGCAGCAGCAGCAACTGCAGCAGCTGCAGCAGCAGCAGCAGCTACTGCTGCAGCAGCAACAGCAGCAGCAGCAGCGGCAAGCTGAGGCCCCCAAGGGGGCCCTCAGTGTTCCTTCCCCAGCCCTTCTGTCCCCCCCGCCTAAAAAAGCTGCTGCCCCTCCAAAGCCGGAGCCTCTGGAGCAGCAAAAAGAGGACTCTGTCCCTTCTCCCCCCAAGCTGGTTTACCCCAGTAAGCGCCAGCTGCTGCTGCTGCTGCTGCTGCTCGGGGCCTTTTGTGGCACTCTGCTGCGTCTGCTTTTGCTTCTTCTTGCTGCTTTCTGTCTTCCTGCAGACAGTGGGCAGCTCTGGGCGTCTGCTGCCTGTCTCTGCCGCTTACTTGGCTCTGCTGCTGCTACTCCTGCTGCTGCTCCTGTTGCTGCTGCTGCTGCTGCTGCTGCCCACTGTTCGTATTGACACAGAGAGGGGCAAGGGCCTCGCACTTGGTCTCTGCTGCTACAGCTGCAGCAGCCTGCAGCAGTTGAAGAGGGCCCCCTTCCTTTTGCTGCTGCACTTCGCTTGCAGAGCTGGCGAAGACTGATGAGCAGCTCGGGAAGGAGGTGCGGTGGGGGCCCCACCACTTCATCTTTCGGGGGGCCCCCTTTGTGGCCTACGAGGAAATCGGGCGGCTGTCGGACGAAAGCGAGGCCCTGAGGGATAAGACTTTGCAGCTGGAGTTGGAGTTGAAGAAAGAGGCGGAGGAGCACCAGACGCTGATTCGGAAAATGGCGGAGTTGCAGCAGAAGAAGCTGCAGGAGGCGTCGGGAATGGCCATCAAATTCGGCAGGGGCATCGCCAAGATCGAGGGGTAATTGCATTTTATTTCGAATTCAACTATTATGTTCAACTATTCTTCCGTGACTGCTGCATGCATGCAATTAACCCGCAAACTCCTGAGCTGAGAAAGCCCCGAACTGCTCTTCAGCGCCGCGCGGGCGCGCGGTGTATGCGCAGCTCCGTGCTGCACACTTTCCAGTGTACAGACAGCTGGCGCTGGCCAGCGCGGAGTTTGCTGCTGTGTAGGCACTGCGCTGCGCATGCATTTATTTGTTTGTGCTTTTCGCAGCATTGTGTGTCGCTGGCGGCTGCGGCAGCTGGGTACTTCTTTGATGCTGCTGCTGGCCGCGTGCGGGCGCACAAAGATGGAGGAGGAGCTCGCCAAGACTCGCCAAGAAGCCTCGCAAAAGGCCGGCCTCTTGAATTCAAAAAACAAAGAAAAGGCTGCGCGGCTGATGCTGTTCTTGCTCTCCAGCATTTGCCGCAGAAGACTCTCAGAGGCCCTCGCCCGCCTCATGGTCTTCACTTCCAGTGGCTCAGACACAGAGGGGCTTTTGTTTCCGGGAATCATCGAGGATTGTGAGACAAAGCCCCCACCGCAGCTGCCACCTACAGCCAAAGACTGCGCCCTGCTTTCGCTGCTTTTGCTGCTGCTTTTGCTGCTTTGGCTGCTGCTGCTTTGGCTGCTGCTTCTTTGGCTGCTGCTTCTTTGGCTGTTTTTCTTTTTGCTGTTGCTGCTTCGGCTGCTGCTGCTTTGGCTGTTGCTGCTCCGGCTGGTGCTGCTGCTGCTGTTTGTGGTGGTGCTGCTGCTTGTGGCGCTGCTGCAGTTTGTGCTGCTGCTGCTGCGGCGGCCTTTGCTGCTGCGTGTGTTGCGGCTTCAGTGTCTGACCAACGAACTCGCGTGGCCCTCGCGGCCATTGCCCAGGCCAAGCAAGACGCAGCTGTGGTGCGGAATATTGTGGGGGTGGAGGCTGCGCGTCTGGAGGCTGAGAGGACTTACTTGAGTCGCTGGCGAAGCCAGCTTGTGCAGATAACAGAGGAAATAGACAAGGAGGCTGTCCAGACAATACTGGAGGTAAGTTGCAGAGAAGAGGTGCAGCTCTCGGGGCTTTTTAGCCCCATTTAGGAGGGCTGTCGAGCTTCTGGAGGCCCTCAGAGGGGCCCCATTTGTCTTGTGTCTTTTAGCTGAAAAGTAGAAACCCTCTGCAACGGGCAGGGCTTTTAGTTGGGCTGTTTGTGCTGCTGCAGGAGGTGGCTAAGGGCGCCACAGCCCGCAAGGCAAAGCCAAAGCCGAAGCCTGCTCCCTTTGTGAGGGTGAACTCCGAACCCAAGTAGCTAGGCTTAGAGGGCCTCACTGCATGCAGTTTCGGTTTCGGGGCCCTGGGCGAAAAGCCCAGCAATTAGACATGCCGGGAGGCTGGCGCTGAGACTCTTGCTCCGGCTTCTCGGGCTGCTCTTGTTCTTGCTGCTGCTTTTGCTAATGCTTTTGGTGCAGCAGCACATTTGCAGTTTCGATGGCTTTTGCTGCATCTTGGTGCACGT